TGTTTCAAAATTAATTTTGGGATATTGAATCCCTAAATTATAAAAAAAATAATATATTTTTAGGATTTGTGAAATCCTCTCTTTTGTTTCAACTTTTTTTGGGATATAAGGTGGATTACAAGTTTTTTGGGTTTTAGAATTCCATAAACCATGTTTGTTTCAAAACCAACTTTGGGATATTGAATCCCCAAATTATAAACTATTATATTTTAGAATTTGTGAAATCCTAACATTGAGAGAGGATTTAGGTTGGATATTGAACCCCCAAATTATAAAAAACCTATTATATTATATTATATTAGCATTCTATACTATACAATAATTAATATAATATAAGATTAATATATTATATATAATATTATAATAATATAATATTTAATATAATACATCTATTCCTCATAGGAGGACCCAAGTATCACTGTTCATGCTAATATTATATATTCTTTTAATCCGACACCCAAGTTAATGCCACTATACATCGAATGCTGATGTATGGTACTATATGTAAACAAAATGATAATAATGAAAGAAATATAGCCTTATTTATAACATGTGGCTTTACTGGCATCCTTAAAGGATGGTGGGATAATTATCTCTCTGCTGATGCTCGTAATAAAATTTTAGGAGCAACAAAAATTGAAAATGGTCTTTTGCATTATTTGAAACAGTGAAAAAGCACCAGTAAGATAGTGAGCTATAGATAGCATTAAGGGAGAATAATGGAGAATCTTTCTTGAAGGTGATGCTATAAAATGCATTTTGGAATGTCGTTATACGCATTCAGTAATATTTTAGCCTTAGGAGCTAACCCATTCTGTCTCTTGCTTTACTATAGAAGTAAAGAGTTCAGGAGTTTGTCCCTGTGTAATAAGATCATTTATGCCTTTATAAAAGGCTTGAGATGGATGCGAAGAATTATATTTCTTCAAAATAGTACGCCATGAACTGGGCTGAGATGGAGTATAACTCATTTCTGAACTAGTTTAGCCTATAAAGCAATTCTTATAAGTTGATCTCCTATTATTTGAATATGAATATTAGTATAATTATTTTGTTTAATGATTCTACATAATTCTCTCATATGATCTTCATTAAGATCATTAGGCTTTATAAAAGCTGCAGCCTCTATTGTAGAGGGGTGAACATCTTTTAGCTGTAACGGGTCAATTGGAGGATAAGCCAACCTTATAATTTTACCCGTAGTAGTTTTCCACTGTTTTAAATGATCGGATAGAAAAGAAACACACTTACAGAGTATGCCTGCCGATTCTTAGAATACAGTCTTTATTATCTTCAATATTATACAAAGGATACACTCTTAATATTACAAGAGGATTTTACAAACTCACAGTACTTTTCTTACAAACTTATTCTCTTCACTCAAACTCTGCCTCACACTTCAAACTTCGTACATATATATAGACCATCCAAGAAACTTCAAGAAAGATTCTCCATTATTTTCCATTAACGTGGCAGCACATAAAGATGACAGCGACATACGTATAACGACATTCGTTCATATTATAAACAGTAAGATGCTTTGACCTTTTGAAAAGCTACTTTATAAAGTAACTTTAGATGAGTGAATTCTAGACGGCTCCCCAAGGTTCAATCTAGATGAAAATAAGCCAAGTTACAGATATTGGATAATAGCATACGATTTATGATTTTCTTTGTATACCACGATTAATTTCTTTTTTCAAGTCTTGTATCTCTTTGTAAAATCTTCCAATCTGTTTTTATTTAACAGAGTATAACTCCTTTTTATTTTTGTTTTATTTCTGGTATCAGAGCCTCTATCGCAAATAACTTCTTTTGGAAATAAATTATAATCCCTTAAATAAAAACATACAGCATTAAGGGAGAATAACTTCTTTTCTATTAAAGAAGTTATTCAGACATGTCTGATTAACAGTAACTACCCAAGAAACTTCAAGAAAGATTATACAAAGGATACACTCTTAATAAAGAAATTATATCTTTAGAACGAATGATGCCAAACTTCTAAGACACAGTCCAAAACTGGTATATTCTTGAAGATGTATACTATTATAAATGCCCTCAATTGATTTGGGGATCAACCTCTAGTTCTAAATATCATATATATAGTTACCCTATAAAATAAAACAAAAAAGTTTGGAGCATTTTAAAAGGTAATTTTTTGAAGCCTTTGACACTAGTGAGACTCATAGTCATACGTCTTCAATGGAAGAAGACACACCAATTCAAGATACCCAAGACCCTGATGATATCTGGGCAGAAATATTCAATAATCCCCCAGACCTTAAAGGTAAAGCTCAGCTTCATAAGCAGATAAAGATTCAAACTGTGAAAGATTCTAGATTGAGCCTCAGGGAGCCGTCTAGAATTCACTCATCTAAAGTTACTTTATAAAGTAGCTTTTCAAAAGGTCAAAGCATCTTACTGTTCATAATATGAACGAATGTCGTTATACGCATGTCGCTGTCATCTTTATGTGCTGCCACATTAATAGAAAATAATGGAGAATCTTTCTTGAAATTTCTTGGATGGTCCCCCGAGGCTCAATCTAGAATCTTTATCTGCTTATGAAGCTGGGCTTTTACCTTTAAGATCTGGTGGATTATTGAATATTTCTGCCCAGATATCATCAGGGTCTTGGGTATCTTAAATTAGTGTGTCTTCTTCCATTGAAGACGTATGACTATGAGTCTCACTAGTGTCAAAGGCTTCAAAAAACTACCTTTTAAAATGCAGATAAAGATTCTAAAAGTTTGGCATGAACTGGTTCTATAAGATTCAGATCAAGACAATCAATTTCTGGCAGATACTGCCATGTTAGATATTCTGACAGTTCTAGATGGATTAAATGTTATTTCTACTTCTCCATCTGTAGTTTGCACAGATATCTGTAACAGAGTCCAAATATATTTCTGCTAAAATTCATGTAACTGCCTTTGTAAAAATATATCTATAAACTATAAAGATATATTGTAATATCTTCTGTTCATTATATAATTATAACAGATTCATTATACATGAGATAGAAAACAAGTGTGTTTCTTGTCTATAGGTAATATCTCCAAACCCTTACAGAGTACGCCTGCCTAGACGTGGCTCCTTTATATCTGGTAAAATCACTGTTATAAATAGCGGTAAATAACCCCGCAATAGCGGCGCTAATAGCGTTAGCGGTCCCTTCCCGCGACGCTATCGCCCGCTACGCTATCGCACAATAGCGGTGACATATTACGAAATATGTCTGTTCGCAAAAACGGTCAATAGTGTGTCATAACGGTCAATAGTGAGCGATTGCATTCAAAATTTTCTTTTTGACTGCTATTTAAAAGCGGTTTGAGGTTTTTTTTTTAAATTAAACTCAACCATTGACCATTGCATTCCACCTTCTCCTGTGATTTTCAGCATACTCCCGCCACCTCTCATAGCCTCTGGCACCTACATTGATACTTCCTCTCATTTCCTTCACCGTGAGCTCTTCTTAGGGTAGTCTTGTCACCGCTAAGCTCTTCTTCTCGAAGACGATGACTTTTTGACTCCTCCAGTCATCTTCGGTATTACGTGATGGTTACATGTCTATTTCATGTTTAGTATCTCTTTAAATCATCCAATATGTACTTTTAGATTTCTTAGATTTTTCTTTAATTTTTTTTAGAATGTATACATATCTAAAGTAGACCGCTATTTGACTTTGCGCTTTTTACCGCTATTTTACCGCAATAGCCCGAAATAGCCTTAGCGATGCCTCACCGTTACGCGACGCTATCCGCTATCGATAACCTTGGGTAAAATAACAGTAATATTAGCTGATAAAATATTTATAGTGTTTTGGACTGGAATATAATATGTATCTGTAGGATACATATTAATGCTCGTTCATTAAGGGATACATATTAATAATAGGCTTTATATGAATTATTATCCTATATCCAAAACAGAGTACGCCTGCTGATTTTAGTAAAGAATAGGAGGATTTTACATACTATTATGCCCATTAGTCAAATTTAGTAAAGAATAGGAGAAAACAATATGTTGTTTTCTATTCCAAAATGCATTTAGAACATCACTACATATAGTGATTTTATATTTATTTTCAATTTGACTTATTAAGTCCTTATGCTTTTTTATTTGTTCTTTAACTTGAACAAATACTACTTCTTCTTTAAGAAAATTAATTTGATTTTCTTTTAAGATTATATTTTTGACTTCATTCAGCATTCTAGTTTGAGGATCTGTGATGAATTCAAATATAATTTCTTTATCCTCAAAATGAGCATGAATACCATTGGTGTCAATTTGACTAATGGGCATATATTACTATAATATAATGGATAAAAAAATATCTATTATAATTAATATAATATATTATATAATAATATATGTTATTAAAATATTATATAATATTATAATATATATTTTGTACTATTATATAATATAGTATGTGATATTGCATAATAATATATAATAAATATCATAAAATAAATTATACGTATAAATTATAAATTATAGTATTCCAAATCCCAAAATATTGATGAAACAAACAAAATATTACAAATTATAGTATTCCAAATCCCAAAATATTGATGAAGCAAACAAAATATTACAAATTATAGTATTCCAAATCCTAAAATATTGATGAAACAAACAAAATTTTAGAGATCCCAAAACCCACAAAAAAAATTTTGGATTTCAAATTCTATGGTGAAATCCATATCCATAAATTTTGGGATTTGAAACAAACACCACCTAAAAAGAACGCCATGCATCATCAAGCAAGAATGAAGGGAACAATTCAACGCACTCCACCAATATGCCTAAAGCATAACCCTAACACAACCAGGACAGAAACGGGCACAAAACAGTTAGAAACTCTAGCAGACGGGAACTAAGTCAAATAACCAAGATTTTTCAGTTCGATATTCAAATTAGGTCTAAAGAAACTAAACCTCAAGCAACAGATCAAAGTAAATACGAAATTAAACAAAATATCCCCCAAATCGAACCTTCTTCTTCTTCCGTCCCGATGGAACCGGGAGCTCGACAGGGACGACCTCGGCCTCCATCCCCGCCGAGTTCTTAGCCGGTTTCTCGATTTCGCTCGCCATTTTCGTCCTTTTCTAGATGCCGCTCGTTCTCGCCCTCTCCATGTTCAGTAACGCAGGGCAGAGAGAAAAGGTAAGAGAAAATTCTAGTATCACGCTTCAGCGTTTAGTAAGGACAAATTACACTTAAAAATCCCAAAGTTTGCTCCCATATTACACAGGAATAACAAAAGTTTAAAACTCATACCCAAAGTTTCCCTGATATTGCAGAAAAATACCAAAATCGTAAAATCCATCACTTGCACTTCAATGCCGAATGGAATGCAAACGTGATAATTTCACCTATAAAATTGTCATGCGACACACTCGCATACTATTTTTAAATTATTTTTAACACTTGCCTTTTGTTAAATCTATTGTTAGCTGCAAAAAAATATCCTACTTTAAATGTATCATAGTTCTACATTAAAATATGAGTGTAAGTGGTCTAACAATAAATGTAACAAAAGGTAAGGGTTAAAATATTTTAAGAATTACAACGGAGAGTCGCATGAGAATTTTTTGGGGCGAAATTCTCACATCTGCATTGCATTGGGTATTAGAGTGCATTTTTTACAAAACTTTGTATTTAAGTGTGGAATTTTAAACTTTGATTATTTCGTAATATCTAGTAAACTTTGAGCTTTTAACTATAAGGTTTTAAACTTTTGCTATTTTTATACAGTATCGGGCAAACTTTGGGTATGCAAGTGTAATAAAGGATCCTTAACTAGCGTATTATCAGAATTTTCACCTCCAATACATTTTAAATTGGGAAAGAATCAAATCATACATATGGAAAATTAATTGTGGTAAAAAATTTATCACTTTTCTTTCCCTTCGGTTGTGTTTGGTTTGAGGATAAAGCGGAAGAAAAGAAAAGTAAAGAGAAAAGGAAAATAAAGAAAAAGAAAATAGAAAATAGAAATGTTTTTGTTGTTTGGTTCTTAGGATTATTGTAAAAAGGATATTTGAAGGAAAGTTGTATTAGTTTAATAAAAAAAGAACCAGAAAATATAATTAATTTATATTATAAACAAACAATTGTTTGATACTTAATAATAATAATAATAAAATATAATTAATTTATGTTATATAGTAACCAATATTAATATTAAGAGGTTTGCTTTGGTGCTCCAGAAATAGGCATTTTTTTATTTTTAAATTGACAAAAATAAAAAATCAGCTAAAATAAGAAAGGGTATTTTCATCTTTTAAAATTATCTTCTATTTTCTTTCTATCCTAAAAGCAACCATTCTACCCGAATTCTCCCGTAAAAGAAATTCCCTCCGAAATCAAGATAACGAATCCGCTTCAATTCGATGACGTCAACAGGTATAGAGAAGTAAAATTGTTGTTATATGCATCGAACACTTCCAAGCTCGGCAAAGTTGAGTAATCCCAATCAAGATCGTCGTTAAATTCATTGTTCGATATATTCGGATACCGAAGGCTGGGCATATTCGAAATCCTGGTTGTACCGAAGAATCCATTACCATCGAGAGAGAGGTTGACGAGGTGCGGAAGGCCAGAGATTTTGACGGATGAAGAGTAGGAGATGTTTGAGTTTGAGAGGGTGATTGAAGAAATACTGGTTTGATTTTGATTGCAGCGGACTCCCTGTCCACGAGCAGACTGAGCTTAGGTTGCATCCAGACCAGGCAGGAAATGTGAGTTAGCGAGGAGAGAGCGACGGCGTCGGAGATAATGGAAGCAGAGGAAGTAGATGGAGGAGGAAAGAAGAGGAGCATGTTGAGGATGTTTCATGGGGAATTGAGTTCATATAAGAGGGGTTTGGATGTGAGTAAGGGGGAATTTAAGAGAAGCTTCATGTTCAGAAAATGGAGGCATCTTCAAATTTTTTAAGAGAGGTGAGAATCTTCAGAGTTTATGGTGATATTGAGGCTTTGGTTTGAGTTCCTATGATCTCGGTCTCTTCCCTGGGCGGGAATAAGGTCTAGCGGAGAATTATGATTTAATGGAAAGTGCGAAGCTTTTTTTCTAATGGAAAGTACGGAGGGTTACATGATAATTCCGGTTAAAATTATAACATGTGATATATTAGTTAGTTGGAGAATTCTAACTAATCATAAATTCTGTTTCTCTCCTAAATTCTATTTCCTAAAATAACTTTTTTTACCTAATTGAAATCATAGTTAATTACTTTTTTGGGTGTGGAACACCTTCTAACCGTCAAATCTATCATCTAGAAATGTGAGAGCTATTTTTAAGGGATTTATTTACAGATATGCCATGGTTGTTCTAACAAATCTTCATGGAGCACCGAAGCTGTAGGCTAATATTAATTCATTAACTTTTGCAATTGTATTTAGTTTTTAATTTTTTTTTCCCAGAGGATAGTGTATAGATCATACTCCCTTTAAATGAGGGAGTTGTGGAAAAACTTTCTATGGACTATATTACCCCTATTCTTTTTTTATATTACATTCTAATCCTAACTAAACTAAATTAATTATTATTGTTAATTAATTATATTATATGTCACTTCGAGTTTGTCTAACTTGGTCCCTAAAAATTCCAATGTTATTGTAAAATTCTACATCATATTAGTTATTACTAATTACTAATGTATAATAATATATTAATAGGCAAATTGCATGTTAATAAATTATTTATAGAAAGAGTAGAAAACATAGAATTATTCTAAAATTATAACATGACACTCATATAGGAAAATTACAAAGAGTATTTTTGTATTTAGGTAACAGGACAAAAGGGACAAACATTTAATTTTAGAAAATATTATGGAAAAACTTTCTATGAGCTATATTACTCATATTCTTTTTTGATATTACATTCTAATCCTAACTAAACTAAATTAATTATTATTGTTAGTTAATTATATTATATGTTACTTCAAGTTTGTCTAACTTAGTCCCTAAAACTTTCAATGTTATTGTAAAACTCGACATCATATTAATTATTACTAATGTACAATAATATATTAATATGAAAATTGCATGTTAATAAATTATTTATGGAAAGAATAGAAAACATAGAATTGTTCTAAAATTATACCCTGACACTCATATAGGATAATTATAAAATCTTTCTATGGACTATATTACCTCTATTCTTTTTTTATATTATATTCTAATGCTAATTAAACTAAATTTATTATTATTATTAATTAATTATATTATATGCCACTTCGAGTTTGTCTAACTTGGTTCCTAAAACTTCCAATGATATTGTAAAATTCTACATTATATTAACTATTACTAATGTATAATAATATATTAATAGATAAATTGCATGTTAATAAATTATTTATGAAAAGAGTAGAAAACATAGAATTGTTCTACAATTGTAACATGACACTCATATAGGAAAGTTACAAAGAGTATTCTTGCGTTTAGGTAACTGGACAGAAGGTACAAACATGTAATTTTAGAAAATATTAGGATATTTAACTGCAACAATATACAAGTGGAGGTGTATAACTTTCGTACTATAAATTAATTACAACTTTGTCTAACTTGGTCCCTAAACCTTTCAATACTACTGTAAAACTCTACATCATATTAATTATCACTAATGTATAATAATATATTAATAGATAATTGCATTTTAATAAATTATTTATGGAAAGAATAGAAAACATAGAATTATCCTACAATTATATCATGACACTAATATAGGAAAAATACAGAGTATTCTTGCGTCTAGGCAACATGATAGAAGGTACAAACTTGTAATTTTAGAAAATATTAGGATATTTAAGTGCAACAAGATACAAGTGGAGGTATATAACTTTCATAAACTATAAGGTATTTAAGTTCAATTAAGTCTATAAAGATTTAAAATATTTGTTAAACCACAAATAATTATATGTGATCCTATTGATAAATAATATTCATCATATAATATGAGGCCAGAGGCTTAGCTTATATTTATGTAGTAGAAGAGGTGTGAAAAAATTAAATCATCATATTTTAAATAATCTTGAGATTTTGAATTTTTTCCAGAAATTATATACATTGCTTAGAAAACTTTAGAAGAGGCTTTCGAAAAACTACTACGAAGTGTTGGACATCAGATAAACATTGGATAACTAAAATCTAGGATATCATATTACAGAAATCAAGGATATGTAAAAAATATCGGGTGTCATATGAGATAATATATATTCATACATAAGATAGCATTGTAAGCTATAATCTAACATATTAATGAATTTTAAATATAAGAATTTGCATGAAAATATATGCTTAAAATGTGGGAGAGTTGAGAGTGGAGAGATTTAGGAGACGAATTGCGACTTTTGTGACTTTCGTGGGTTTCTCTTTTGGTTCCCAAACATGACCCAAACCCTAGCCCATAATCAAATTAAAAATGACTCAATTTTGTTGATATCTTCAAAGGGATGTAGTATATCACTCTATGAACTGATTTGGGTTATATATCCTAAAATTTATCCTATACATCAACTCTGAAAATTTTTTGCTACAAGAATCTCAAAGAGAAATTTAATCTTTATTTGTGAAGGGTATGTGATCCTTCTGATTCACCTTGTCTTTCATGATTTGTAATGAACTATTTGACAAAATAAATTAAATTGTTCATTTTTATATTTCTCACCTTCTTATAAGTTTATGGAGCACGTAGTTTGGGTATGAGTATTGTTGCGAATAATAGATTCTTATAACTCTCAACCTAAATTTTTTAATGTTGTTTGACATTGGATAGATCTGAATTATTTGTTAAAATACAATCCATAGTGCATAATATGTATAAATCATTCTCATATTATATTTTATAATTTTTTAATCATTTTGATAAATCGATTAATTAGTTGGGAAGATGTAGAAAGACTACATATCAGATTTTGAAATTGATCATATAATTTATGTTTTCTTTATTGATTGAATTTGCACATTCTGACGAAGAAAATTATATCAAAAAGATTTTGAATATCTATAATACTTGGTCGTCGAATAAACAACATGTGAAAGTAAACAACATGCGAAAGTGATTTCTTTATAGTTAAACAAAATCCTATATGACCAGATAAAACCTACCATTTTACTTTGATGAATTTAGTAATTTATTTTTATCATTAATAATAATAGTTTTTTTATATTGGTCTCTTACATCATTAATATTTTGAAA